AACATTATTACGGCATCAGCTGATCTATTATTTCGTGGACCACCAATAAAGTTTTCCTTCTTGGATTGCCGGATCTCTGTTTTATATTCTAGTTGAAATTGGTTTAGATCTGTTAGTGATTAACATAATCTTCAAGTAAAAATTAATATCAATATTTTATTGATTATCGTCCAAGCATTAGTCAACTAACTAAGATTTCAGGCACAAACTATTAGATTCTAACTAAAGATGAAACTGAACAATAGATAAGTGTGATACTCAAGATGTTCATTTCGTCCTATTTGAGACTTATCAGATGAATATACCTTTTATCGAAGTTCTTGTTGATACTCAAATTCAAATTCAAAGAAGACTGCTCAGCTCCAATCCATATCATCTAAAGATTCAAACAACTCTTACAAATGAATCGAAATGTACACCTTTGTGTAAACTAATGACTGTCTGGACTTAATAGCTAAGTGAATTGTTGGGGTATTCAGAAAATACCCCAGAAATTATCTAGTGCTATTCCTGAATGAGAAATAGTGTCATTGCCCCATTGGTCAACATTCTTCCAACGTGTCATTTCCCTATTGGTCAATATTTATTTGTGTCATTTCCTGAAGGTCAAATCTTGTACAAATGTTACTTTCTATTTTATGGTACGATGTAGTCTGTTTGATTGGTATATAAACAGAGTATGTTTGAAATATAATGGTTCATATCACCGAGGCTGAGACTTGTGTTCTGGACTCAATTGGCTGGGCTAGACAGGGAAGCAAGACCAATCAGAGCTCTAGGCTGCTCGCTCGTGTTTTATGCGTCACTGTTTCGATCGATAATAGGCTGCTCTCTAATAGGCGGATCACACGTTATAACATGAATAATGCGATGACGTTTAGAGCAAGAGTACTGTGTTTTGATGTAAAACAATCAACAATACTGTACTGATACATCTAGCTGACAAGTTCAAAATAAGACGAAATTCATGTCTTGGATTCCACTGCTAGCTCCTATCTGATTCCATTTATGAATTTGATAAAGTTTAATGGTAAATCTTTAACAATGAAAGCACAGAATACAACTCGCGATAGAGTGAATTCCTTTTATTTTACTTACACCAAAATCTTCCAAATATGGTAGACAGAATGATAGCAATCATAACAAATGGTGATAATGATTGCTGAATAAGCTAAAAGAAGTACTTGAATAAGTAAACTAATAACAGGTCAGATGTTCTATTGAACTATAATCAAATGTTGTGACAAGTTTTGATAACCACAAATTATAAATAAACATGTTAATCTTAATCATATTTTCATTTGTAGATGCTACATATACTCGATTAAGTCACGGAAACATAAATATTGATACAAAGAGGTACCAAATACATATGCACCACACAAGCCACTTGATTTATGTGTGGGCTATGATACTGCCCGGGTACCCAGACCGAAGCAAGGAGATGCAGTCCCATGGTAGCCAGTGACCAACGATTGGTTCATACACCATATGTTCATTCAGGATCCTGGATCCCATTGGTTTGGAATGAGGGTTTTCCAACTCCCCTAGGTTGACCCTCTGTGTTCATTAACAGAATTAAAACTCCTGTCGGATATTCATTTTTTCGTCCTTTCAATTTTCTAAACAACAGTAATGTCACAAGAAGACAGTGAGTAAGACTTCCCTAGTGATGGCTGTATTCAAGTGGCCATTTGAAAGCATTTGTAGAGATTGAGCTAACTCTCCCCAACCTTGACCGTACTAGGGCATTTGTGATATGGAAAGTACATGATAATTAATCCTTTATTTTATGAAAATTATATTAGTAATAACCATTTATTTGTATCTATACAACAACAAGTGTATGAAACAATCAAATCATTTAATCCTATTATGTTCATTGTTCATGCTTAGTAGACATTTACCAACAGAATTGATTACATAATAAGCTATTTTGTTGTTGTTGTTGTTGTTGTTGATTGAATAGAATAAAAAGCAGATGAATATCTAACTGAATCTATTCATATTAATAACTCTTAGTCTATATGGAAAACAGATAGGTGATTTCGTTAAACATGAGATCAACTTAGGATGATCTAAGATATAGTAGAATGTTCATTATATGAAATATAATCTAATGTTAATGCGATCAGAGTCTTAGTATGGGAGTATCTAGTGAATATACACCCACAACCCCTTCATTTCAAGGGATCGAACACAGGACAGTTAGTTTTGTGTTTAAGGGCTTCACCTCTAGACTAATAGCCCCCAAATGCCCTGGTATGGCCGAGAGTGGGGGGAGTCCGCTCCCCCTCTCGAAATGCTCTCATATGGCTACGCGTATACAGCCCCTGCCAGGGAAGCCCTACTCACTGCCTTCTCGCACCACGGGTGTTGTTTACAAAAATGAGAGGACGAAAAGCGAATGTCCGGCGCTATAACCGGATCCCAAACCAATGGTGCACATGGGCTCCAGTATCCTGCCTGAGGGAACAAATGGCGTATGAACCAATCGTTGGTCACCGGCTACCATAGGACTGCATCTCCTCACGATGCTCCACTGCCTTGTGGATCAGATCTTCAGGTCGAAGGCTCGGGGTGTGGCTCCCTAAGAAAACCACCTGCTTCGGTTTGGGCACCCGGGCAGTATCACAGCCCTCACACATATCAAACAAGATCTGTGTGGCACATATATATTTGGTGCCTTCTTGTACCGATATTTATGTGTTAAAATAATAATAATAATAATCTAGACTACTAAGCTGACATCCATTAGTGCACATGTCTAAATTCAATCAATTTACCATATTGTTTAAGTATTTTCAATACCTGTCTCATTCCTGACAGAAGATCCTGGGTTTGATCCCCTGTGATAGAGCTATGATTGTGTACTGTCACTGAGATGTCTAATACTAGAACAATACAGTTGTCTAATGCTACAAGTTCTCATTGTCGATTTATCTAAGATCAATTTATGACTGATAGTATGAAAATAAAATGTTGTATATGTTAAAAAAAGACTTCAGTTTTTAAGATTAATGGCGTCTAAATGAACTAGCAAACAATATGGAAGTTTTTGATGGAGTTTTGTTCTATGAGCTGGATGGTTTGATCGTGTTTCTTCTTTGTTCTCTGTATCGTTTGCATGAAATCTCGATGGCTGTTGTCAAGATTTCCAAATGCTTTGACGTGAGTATCCTTTGTAGCTTCATCTTTTGTTCGTCTATGACGTGTTGGTATTTGAGGATCCTGTAGTGTGCATCCGTTATCATTAATGTACCATTTTTCCTCCACTTTGCCCAGCTATTCTCCATCCTAATGGGCAGTTGATTGGAGTTCTGTATTTTACGCTTGTTGGTAGAACATACTGGTGAAAACACTCATGGAGAAAATATAGTTGTTCTCAAGTGGAAGCTTGCCTTTTGCTGAAATTCTCCCATTTTCGAACAACGAGAAGAGTATCACGCTTATATGATTTTGAGATGTTGGAGATCATCCAGCTCAGAGAAAAAAACTCCATCAAAATCATCCACCTGATCTACAAATCTTATCCACCATCTTAATATGGAAGTTGAAATACAGATTTAGGATGTCAATCGGTCACATGATTTGGAGTCAACCAATAATAAACAAACACCAGTCACAACTAGACATGTTTAATATTTTGAATGGATAATTATACAGTTATATATAATATACCCTTGTGTGCCAGGGTAATTTTACATTGGTTTTCAGGAGAACCAGACACCGTCCAGACTTTCACGTAACAACCCAAACAGTACAGCCCAAGCCCGTTTAACAGGAGAGCCGGACACCGTATAGGCTATAACGCTATAATCTGAATAGTAAAGCTCAATCCTGTGGCGCAATCACACAGGTACCAAGCACCCTGGTGGACCATTCGCACCATTCATATACACATTCATATCACATGTGTAGTTAATCCGATCAATGATCGCGAGAATCAATTATGCACGGCACGAACAGGCCAAAGTTGACCCATTCCGCTTACACGACAGTCAAACTCGTTAATATTAGCAATGGTGGCATGCCTTACGATGTCCCAATGACAATGGCCCTCGAGAACACTGAAAAGCAGCTACCAGTATGAATGAAATCAGTTAACCAGCGAACCAATTTTGTTCGTGAACAGTCAGCAAAACTTGCCAAAGCATTGCTGAACCATCCACAATAGCAATGGCGAGCATCTAGCCTCATATGAGACCTTCAGCTCTACACAGCCATATAGCTTAATGATACAGTTCACATAAATGTACATTAGATCAAGTCATCAATAGAATGAAACCTACATTCTGAATCCTTACACTGTTCATTCACAACATGAAACTTGAAATAGTCTAGTAAATATGTAATTTAACCAACCTAATCACACTTGATGGAGAAGAACAAGGAGATGTGGAATCTTTCATGTACCTGAAAAGCATTATCGATAAATGAAGAGGATCTGATGCAGATATAAAGACAAGAATTCGTAATGCAAGGATCATATTTCTACTGTTGAAGAACTAATACAACTAAAAACAATCATCTGTTAACCAATAATAAAGTCAAAATCTTTAATACGAACCATAAAGACAGTTAGTTCTATTGTATGACGCTAAAAGTTCGAAAACTACTACCGAAATTCATCAACAACAGTTTATTATGAGAGATAACAGACTAACTTCCAATTAAAGAGGAAATTAAGAAAAGATGATGAAAGGGAATAGAACATACATTCAGTAAATTATTAAACTACACCACGAGTGAGTCGTTAACTTGGAATCATGAAAGGAAACAGAAAAGATGAAAGTCATACAACACATTACATCATGAATTAGAAACAAACATTAAAAAAAAAAAAGATTATCAATTAGAAACAACTGGAAAGGATGGTTCATTATATCGTTGGAATCAAGAATGGTGGTGGGTAGCCTATTCTCTTCTACGACGAGTCACTGATATATATATATTTTAAAAAAATAATAATAATAATAATCAATATATCATTGACTTACTTCATGTATTTCACGTCGATAATTTGATCTTTTCTGTGTTGATTTCAATTTACATGTATAGCAACAACTTGTTTTACAATGATCTGTATCAGTTATTGATTTTTTATTCCGTTTAGGCATATGTTTATCAATAGTATTATATATTATTATTATTATTATTATTATTAGTAGTAGTAGTAGTAGTAGTAGTATGAGTAGTATTACTTTGTTTGATTGAAATCATCACAATATAAAGGCACATATAGATTAACCAAAAAGAAACAAAAAATAATAATAATAATAATAATTTATCCGATCAATTTTAAAAGCGAAAACATGATATGACGTAATATCGTTTCCATGTTCAATCATGAATACCTCTAATCATAAAATAGCATAGATACAATTTTGTTGTTGTTACGGTGGTGGTGATGGTGATGATGGTGGTGATGATGGTGATTGAAACTATTCTATCTAATTAATCGATTATATTCCATATAATTTAAACAATTATTGGATAAATCAATGAAAATAAAAACATTTGAGCCCAACAGTGTTTCAGTTTGTTTGTTTCATTATGACATAATCATTTTATGAATGAAACAATCTAGTTGTTAAGATTCATTCATTTTAAATGAATATTTGTTACTATGCAGATATATATATATATATATATATTTATATAAATCTATATCTATAATCCAATAAGCTAAAAAGAATATGAAAATAGGATTGGTGCGTGTTTATTTTGTTTTGTTTTTTTTTTTGATTTTTTTGTGTTTTCTTTTTGTATATGTATATATATATATATATATCTATTCAGATGACCTTGAAATCGAATAGCTATTCCCGCTTTTTGTTCAAGGTCATACGAAACAGTTTTCGATAACCAATCAGTGTTTAATTATGGATAAACTAATGAATAGTAAGGCAAAACTAGACAGTAAAATAGTAATAATAATAATAATAATAATAATAATAATAATAATAATAATAATAATAATAATCATAGTAATTCACATGCAAATCTAATTACAACAATGTTGTTTGCTTATTCTCTTGTTTTTTTGTTGTTGTTGTTTTTTTCTGGTTGGCTCCTGGAAACCAAAAATAAAATGGATTTAAACATGGAATATATTACATAGATAAAATGTGGAATGAAATGGTTAGTCTATTGTTTGTTTATTTGTTTGTTTGTATGTTTGTTTGTCTTCAATGGAGCCAAATATAATAATATAAATCCATGAAACATGATCATAAAAAGGTTGGGGTTTAAAGGCCGTCTTGTTCTAGTATGGAACTTCTCACGCATGCGAGAATCGAACCTAGGAGCTTCTGTCTTATGAGAGAAGCGTTAACCTTCTTGCTACTGAATTATTAAAAGGGGTATTTTGTGGATATTACAATAATTTTATTGGTTGAGATTATGAGTTAATTGAAGCTAGATCATCATGAAATAGCTGGAAGCACTTGATGGCCATTTCATTCAATTATGGAACTCTTCAACAATGCGCATCCACAATCTCACACGTGAGACTTGGACCCAATGTGGTGTGTGCTACTTATGTAGACATAAGTAGTATATGACGCGAGTCATGAACAGAATGTCTGGCAGCAGAGAGACGAGAAGATCGAACAATAAAGAATCAAGAAAGAATGCAATTCGTATGAAAATGCAAGAAAAAAGGGATTCTGAGTCATTTGAGACAATTGATGAACAATTCGCAAATTAACGATTCAATATATGGTTGTTGGATTTAAGTAAATGGTTCTGTAATTTATTATTAAATACATTCGATTGTCCCCACCAGTGTTCTGTTCACTACACCAAGACTCTCAGTCTCACATATGAACGCTTAACCTCTAGACAACTGAGCTGGCTAACGTTCAACTGTCTAACTTCAACTAATCCACAAAATCGAACCACCGTCCATCATTGTCTTCAATGAGTAACTATTTCATAACAGACCCGGTTGAACATCATTGGTCACTGCTTCTCACTAGAGCTACAGGAACTACCTCTTAAAGCCAGTCACTAGTGAGTATATGTTGATTAATATCAGAAGAGTTTTTTTTTGTGAATATGATAGTAATTTCAATAGTTAAGATCATGAGTTCATTGAAACTAGACAACCATGGGAAACCTACAAACACTAAACAGCCGTTTCGTTCTACTGTGGGACTCTTCAGCAAAGATTTCATAATAAACACTCAACTCTTATCAACCAATTTATTAATCATTATTTGGTTAAATGTGAAAACCATGTATTCAATACATCAATCGTAAATCCTTCATTAAACTTCATTACTCCTGCATTGTTATTACAATTATTCTTTATCCCCGTCCTCTTCAATTCTTATCTTCTTAACTCCCCCCCTGTCAGACATTTCACTTCTAATGAATGAAACATACTACTTAGGTTGATAGACATAAATAGTATACACTATCAATCAATCCATAAGTAGTACTATTAAAAATGATGGTAATTAACGAGTACAATAGATTATGATGTAATCAGATAAAAGTAGTTTGTGTAGATTACAGTAGATAAAATAATAAAACTTGATAATTGCTACAGTAAAAAACAATACAGATAACAACAGTGAAGTAATCTTAACAATAATCATTATAATACTACTAATGATAGAAGAAATTAGATATGGTTAGGTGTCTGAAATGATGTAAAGGTAACATTTTATTCATAGAAGCTATAAGTTGGAAATAGTAGGACCCGAAAATATACCATCTAAAGTACTGAAGTCAGATATTGAAGTAACTACAAACATGTTTCACCTTCTATTCAAGATGATTTAGAAAGAGGAACAAGTGCCGATAAACTGGAAAGAAGGACACCTCATCAAGATTTCAAAGAAAGGTGATCTGAGCAAATAGCTGTCTACGCAAGATACTCAATATCCGTTGGCCAGATACCAGAGATTAAACCAGCTTCCAGTTGAGAAGGAAGGACGATGTAAATGTGTAAGACATACATTACGCAAATCATCAAACTGCATCATGAGGCAAGTCCTAACTTGGAATCTCGAAGGTAAGCTGGAAAGAGGAAGGTCAAAAAACACATTACGTCGAAGAATCGAAGTAGATATGAATAAGATGAATAGCAACTGGATAGAGCTGGAAAAGAATTGCCCAGGACTGGGTTGGATGGAACATGCTGGTGAGCGGCCTATGCTCCTTTACGAGGAGTAACAGGCGTAAGTAAATAAGTAAAAGTTGGAAATGGAATCAAAAATAGACTAAAATGTTATGATTCAATAAAAATGAGATCGAGGATAACATAATAAAGGAAAGAAAACACAGTAGTGAATTGGTTACCATAGCAACTAGGATGAAACATAAATTCTTTTAGATAACGAATAAACAGTGTTTCTGTGTTACCTAAATATTTGTTACTATTTTATTTATTTATTACTCTAAAGAATATACTAGGGTTTATTGAGTGATTGGTGTTCAATCTATATTGACCTATGGTATTGCTGAGTAGTTTGGCTCCATTCAAGATGTGTTTTAAGATTTCTGTTAGATAATTTTATCGTTCCTCTATAAGACATCATCAACACTTCTATCTGATGTTTGTGCTGTTGATGTCGTACAGAAGAACGATGAAAGCTCAACACGACCAAACTATCCAGCTCAGAGAATAAAATTCTATCATATCGGATATGAAGCTATTAACTGCGGACCAATAGCTTTAAAGATAGTTGAGCAATATCATGAACTGATGAATGTTGGATATATATGTATAAAGTCACTTTCATACTGACCCAGGAGTTCTTATACCTGAGGATCTTGCATTCGATCCCTTATTGAGTGGTATGTCTATATTACTGATGAGTCCCATATTAGGATATAACATCTATCCATCTTCATAAGCCTTATATAATAAACAGTGACTGAATCGAATAGTCTCAAGTGAAACGTAATACCTATTCTTTGATCATTTCAAGTTAACAGACTATACCCATTACTTACTTACTTACGCCTGTTACTCCTTGTGAAGGAGCATAGGCCGCTCACCATTGATGAGACATATATCAGGATGATAATAATAATTACAATAATAGTAATAAGGAAATTCTGTTATATATGGTAGCGAATACCACTGATTTTCCAAATGTATAGCTATTGTTTCAACAGTGTTCAGATGCAATATAACAGCTTTTGACAGCCTTCTGCTTGCATTATAGATAACTTTGAACGCAGAATCCATCTTGATTGAGTGACCTGTGTTCACGAGGTGTTCGATTATTGAACTTCTAATTGGATCGTATCTGTCTCATTTTAGCTATGATGGGTAATGTTCTTGAATTCTTTCGGATAAACTACGCATTGAATGACCTAAATACCTGACTTTACATTAGCAGATTAATTGATAAATGTACATAAATTTGATCGGATGTGATAAACTATCCTTAAGATCATTAATAAACATTGATTGGTTGGAGAACTCTGTTCACAATGTTGCTACGAAGAATGTTCTTTTAAGAGGATCAGAAATTCTCTTCTTTAATAAGTCTCTAACTCTATCACTCATAAAATCTGTTCGATGTCTTGTTTCTATGATCTCCTTGATTATAGTTCATCACAGTTTCAATATTTCATCTTATTGAGATGTCGGAGAAGATTTGTAGCTCAGGTGAATGATATTGATGAAGTTTTGTTCTCTGAGCTGAATGGTTTGATCATGTTTCTTACCGTTTACTTTAACTTAATGATTGTCAAACACAGACTACAGTTTCAGCTCACTCACTATTATTTGCTTATATCTTCCCATTGTTGTTTAAGATTATAATTGATCAGCCTGTTATTAGCATATGTTCATACTGTGTGTAATGGCTGGATATTGCCTAAATTCATAAGTATCCAGAACGCATGTTTCTTCTTATTTAGGACTGATCAGCTGGATATATCTGCATCTCACAGTTAATATTCACTCCGGGACTCGAACCCAGTACAATTCGCTTCAAACGCCATTGCGTTATCCATTAAGCTACTGAGTCTTGATAGCCACTATTTTGTGCAATGGGTTAAAGTTAAAATTCACATGGTATTGTTTACTTGAATCTTCTCATCGATGTTTAAGACTGTAATTGATCAGTGTCTTACTGGCATATGTGCATCCTGTGCGGATTGCCTCGATATTGTATTAATTCACAAGCATTCTAA